CAGGTAAATTATATTAGCTTATTATATTGCTGATTGACTATAAATAATTGTTAACAATTATGTATTACAGGCCTATCACGTGACGGACACATCTATGGCATATTTTGGTAGTACATTAGCCAGGGAGAATTTACGCGTATTAATGCTACATCATTGCTGGGAGTTGTCTAACCAGGGTGTTGCTAATCTGGCACATGGTTTGCCTAATTTACACACACTCTCACTATCCGGCTGTTCAAAAGTAAATAATCAGGATAAATATTAAATTATTTTATTATACAAATATAATATTGTCAAACTGTAACGATAACTTATCGGGTATATAATAAATAGTAACAATATTTAAAACTAACTATAATCGGAAACGACCTACCTTTCCAATATTCTATTTTTACTAATTGTCTAAAACATTAATTAGGGAACAATAATCTATAATAAGTATTAAACAATCATGGTAATAATAATAATTTAAGATAACAATAGTAATAACACACTCTCTCTATCCCGGCTATTCAAAAGTAATAATGATAAATATTAAATTATTTTATTATACAAATACAATATTGTCAAACTGTAACGATATGATATAGGCATATAATTAATATTTAAAATATTTTCATCTAATAATATTTGGAAACGCCATAATATAACAGTATTATTTTTTACTATTTATTCAAAACATTAATTAGAGTAAAATTGAATAATACTGTAGTATAAATAGTGAACAATCATGACAATAATAATAATTAACAATAATATTTTAAAAATATAATATTAAATACTAATGTAACTTTAAAGATAAATCACTTTTACAATAATTTGTTTAATCAATGCTAAGGTATCGGACGATGCGATAGAAGTGATCGCAGAGCAGATCCGAGGGCTCCGGTATTTGGACCTCTCGTGGTGTCCACGTGTTAGCGATGCGGCCCTCGAATACATTGCCTGCGATTTGTCCGACACTTTGACACACCTTATACTCGATCGGTATGTAATACATATGTTTTACATTTTGTATTTTATTTTATAAATTACTGTATATTACAATTAATTTTACAACAATCTTATTATTTTAAATTAATGTAAATTAGATTTTCAACCTAGATTTTGTCATTAAAAATGTCGCAAAATAGGTTCAACTATTATACTGTTTAACTAAATACTATTTATTTTAGCTATCATCACACCGATAGCTTGGAACAAATTTCATAACAAATAGTTTAAATACACATTTTTTAATAACTCAAGTTATAGTTTATTAATTTATTTTATAGATAAAATTAAAACTATTATTAGTAAAGCAATTTATGTATAAAGTAAACAATCAGTAGGTGTGAACTCAATTTGATTGTTGATTTAGCATAATAATAGTGACATGCATTTTATTTTTACCATATAATATCTTAAAGTATATTCTTTTCATCTATTTCATTACACAATACCTGAATAAACATTATATTTATTTATCTCCCAGAAATGTGGGTTATTCTACATGTGTGGGATGTGCTGGTTATAAAAATGAATAGAATTGAATGCCAAATAATTAATAAAATATATTGTCATGTTTAAAATGCTATAACATTACAATTATTAATTATTGGTGTCGCTCCAATAATATTAATTTAATATTTGACTCAATTAATTGACATTAATTTATTGTTTATGTTACAGTTGTCTACACATCACGTGTATAGGCATGGGATACGTGGCAACGATGACCCGTCTCTGCCATTTGTCTCTGCGATGGTGTCCTCAGGTCAGGGACTTTGGACTCCAGACCCTGTGTTCTATGCGCTCATTGAAAAGCCTGTCCATCGCTGGTCTGTATTATAATTATGCGTTTATTTAATTAAATAAAATTAATTTTTAATTAATAAAACAATAATTTAATATACAGGGTGTCCGCAGTTGACAATCGGCGGTCTCTCGTGTTTAGTACAAATGCAAACATTACAGGAACTCGAGTTGACTAACTGTCCGGCGGCTACCAAAGAGCTCATCAACTATTTGCGCGACA